TGAGAGAAGTTCAATTCTCATTTGGTTCAAATACAGATTTGCTCCAGTTATGTTTTTCCCTGCTGATGATCATTAGCTTGGTTTTGCTTTCTATAGTATTCGAAAACACTATCGTATCATCTGCATACCGCAGGTTATTCAGATTGACTCCATTTATGGAGATGTCTTCATTAATATCTTTTAGAGCCTCTTCAAAAATGTGCTCCGAGTACAGATTGAATATCAGTGGTGAAATTATTCACCCCTGTTTCACTCACCTTAAGATTTTGACCTGATCTGTATATTCTCCATCTATTCAGAGCAGCGCTGATTGATTCCAATAAAGGTTAGCTATTATTTTAGGTCTCTTCCGTCAATCCGTCATATTCAGCACTTTCATCATTTGTACATGCCTGACTTTATCGAAAGCCTTCTTGGAGTCAATCAGGCCTGCAAAAACATTACAGCTGACATCTTTATATTTTTGAAACAATGCCTGCACGCTAAATAAAAGCTTCCCTCATACCAACGGCGTTCACATCCTCGCATTTCCGATAAATTATTTTGTGGATGACTTAAAAACAGCTTAAGCAAATGGTTCATTAGGCTTATGGTCCAGTCTTCACTTTTGCTCCTGGTTTTTTGGGCAATGGTACGAACTCCGACTTAAGCCACTCTAGTGGTATTTTTTCTGCCTTGAATATTTCATTAAATATTTCAGTTATTATTTTTATTTGTTCTGCACCTAATAGCTTTAGCAGTTCTGCAGGAATTGCATCCGGTGCCTTTCCATTTCGCGACCTGAATTTTCTTCAATGGTGGGTTCTTGTATTGTTCTAAGGTCGTGGCAAAGTTTCTCCAAGTATTCTTCCCTAGATATATCAAATATCAATATCATGGTCATCGTCTCACAAGACGTGTTTATATAATAAATATAATGATATTCTCGGTGAACGTGATTTGGAGAACGGTATTAAGGAGACTAGTATTCGGAGAAAGAGAGACAGAAGACGGGTGGGAGAGAAGAACAGACAACGAATTAATGGCTTTGTACAAAGAACCTACCATAACCAGATGCGTCAAGTCGCAAAGAATCAGACGGTTGGGACATGTAGAAAGAATGGCAGCGAACAGAATGCCTAACCTAGTTGTGACCAGGAATCTAATCGGTCCCAGAAGAAGAGGTATGCCCAGAACGAGGTGGATTAATAAAGTGGAGGAAGACCTTAAAAACGTAAAGGTGAGGTACTGGAAAAGTAAAGCAAAAAAAACAGAAGTGAATAGAGAAATATTGGGTGACAATCGAGAGCCGGATGTTTTTAGAACGAATAGTACGAAGCTTGAGGGGATGAGAGTGGGACAAGCGCGGCTTTACTACCTCTGTAGTGTGTCATTTCAGTAAACATGGGGCACTAAACGGTAGAATACCGTACGTTTGCATACGATACGTTTATCCTAAATCAAGAATCACTACGCAGCACTTGCGTGTAGTAGTTACTGATGCATTCTGATCATAAAAATCCTGATGTCTGAGACATTTTCGGCACATTAAATTGTATAAGAATTAGTAGAACAGATTTTGGTTGCAGACCTGACTGAACATGACGTAAAGCGTGGTCCAAACTGTATCAATCTTAAACAAAGGACTCACGATACACACAATTTAGAATAAAACTGTACGAGTACTTTTTCTGCAAATTATGTTTTCAATGATACCTATAGCTCAATTGGAATCTGTACATAGAAGAGTTAATTGTAGTAGCTGGAACTGTAGAATTTTGTAAAAATATATCGAGAAGATTCTTTATAATCAGAATTTAAATATGTCTTAGATGCAAAAGTTGTAGATATCTTTTTTCCTTTGAAATATTGTATCCAAAAACCACTTTGAAACATATTGGCAACACAAAAAAAAAACTAAAAAAACTATTTGTCAAAAAGCGGGATTTTTTAAAATAGTATTTTGTGATGATATGCGTAAAAATCTATAAATTGTAATTTTTTTTAATAAATAATACGAATTTGACCTTAGAGGGTAAAATATACTAAAATAAAAACTTTCAATTGAAACTGACGATCCAGAAAATTGTTTACCGAGCACTGAAGGCTTTCAGGGCTAATGTTTTGTAACGATATACCAGGCTTATAGGTTCTGACCAAGCAATATGTCATTAATTTGTGAATAATTTGATATTGACATAAACCATACCGTTCATCATTGAAATCTAGCGATATTAATATTCACATCTCCAATAATTTTTATGATCTTTAAATGATCTACAATTTTGTATAAAATTATAAATAGTATGGTATTATAAAAGGTAAAGTTGTTACGATATTAATTGGGAAAGAACAATTTTTGGAGTCCGGTCAGTAATTCTACGGCAAACATAGAAATAAAGATAATTCTTTGTAATTCTAATTATTGATTACTCCTGGTATTAGTCCACATGGATATTGGTGTGGCTTATTACTTTGAACGTATCTTATTGGGTAATACTGAAATGTAATTGGTCAAATTTTTCGGAAGTGAATACACTGAAACCAAATCTGGCTTTGCCGTTATCAGGTAAAAATCGCTTCTCATGTTTCAAAAGCGGCAAGCATTATAATAAACACAATAACAGTGTCGTCGTGATAAACTTATTTTATTTTATTTTAAACTTATATAAATTATTTTATTTTTATAGTAAAATTGTAGTCTCATTTTTTAGTTCTCAAATTAATAAGCACATTACATTTCATTTGCATTATGTATGTATATACTTTTATTCATCAATTTTAAATTTCAATAAAAGTTAAGGAATTTTTAGGGTCCAGTCCCGAATAATTCCGAAATATAAACATTATTTGTAATTGATCACTAACGGTATTGTCCACATTGCAGCTGTGGTTTATTACTTTCTACGTATCTTATCGGGCACTACTGAAGTGTAATTAGTCATATTCTTCGGAAGTTACGCTCAAACTTGATCGTTATCTGGTCAAAAATGCCTTCTCAGGTTTCTCATACTAAACGATATATTCAGTATCGTCGTGTACGACAGCAAGTTCATGTATATTTTTAATATTTTTGTGCAAACAGTAGTGTTGTGTTTTAGTTAAGTTTGAGTTAAGACAGTAGAAAATAAGTTGTAAATACATTAAAGAATATCGAGATGACAATAGAGACATTGTGTATCTTGATGAAACGTGGTTTGACACCCATGATGTAGTTCAATATGGCCTGATGGATGATAGCAAAAAGTGCTGCTTGAATACTCCTTGTTCGAGAGGAAAAAGAATTATAATTCTACATGCTGGAATTAAGAGCGGGTTTGTACCTAATGCCTTGTTATTATCGGCCAAAAACATTAAACAGTGTCATCAGCTGATTATCATGAGGATATGACGGCTAAACTTTTCGAAAAATTGGCAACGGAACAGCTGTTACCGAATATTAAAACAAATTCCGTGATAGTAATGGACAATGCGTCATACCATTCTAGACTCTACACCAAAATTCCAAATACTAGCTCCAAGAAGGGAGATATCATAGAATTTATGGAGAACAAATGCATGGCAACACCTAGTAAATGTACCAAAAAGGAATTGTTGCAATTAATTAAGCAACAAAATTTTCAAAAAGAATATGTAATAGATAAACTCTTTGAACGGCATGGGCATACGGTTTTACGGCTCCCTCCATATCATTGTGTTTTCAACCCAATTGAAATGATATGGGCCAATGTAAAAAAGAAATTGCGGAAAATGAATCAATCTCCCCAATTAAGTGACGTTGTCCAAAATATAAGAAGAACAGTGATCGAAGAACTTAATAAAACTGACATTTGGAAAAATTGTGTAGCGCATGTTCAAGTAAAAGAAAAAGAATATCCTACTTTACCACCAATTGAACCGGTAGTTATAAACACAAACGACGACTCAAGTTCTGGACACACGGATAGTGATAGTGTTTAATTGTTTGAATATTTCTACAAAGACTTCCACAACTTGTCAAAAATATGTTCTGTGTATCGAAGTAAATTTGATCTCTCGATTAATCTATAACCTAAGAGACAATTCGACTGTAAGACGAATTGGCCGATTTCATGTATCTTTCAAAAATAAGCTCTTTAAACCGATGAAACTTACAGATCATATTCATGATTATTTTTTACCAAAAAAAGGGATCAACTTTGTTTTGAGCGTAACTTGCTTACGTTTGATGCTAGAAACTTTTTTAAAAATCAAAAATAAAGATTTCTTTAAACAATTAAAAAAAAAAGTAAAAAAACATTTTTTTTATTATTTCACGTTGAATTATTCGATATGGAATTTGAAGAATAGGTAAGAATCTATTTTTCATTAGCTATAAGTCTGCTTCTGCTGGGTATACAGACTTCATACATATACCATTGTTTTCACTTTTTTATAAACTGTATTTTTGCTACGAACATTTTCTCCATAAAATACTTACCTTTTGAGTTATTTGCGAGAAATCGTCCAAAAACGTGGCGTTTTTGATGAAAAATGAATATATTCACTCGCAAATAACTCGAAAAGTATTGATTTAGTAAAAACCTCTATAGAAGAAAAGTTACCTAGAATTAGTCAGTTTATCCACTTCCGGACTTATTTTGGATGTATATCTTTTCACAATATCACTTTTTTTCTTTGACACGTTAGCTATATGTGTATGACAAATTTCATGTCAATCCCAGTGGTTCTTTAAAATTTAGAGGTTTTTACAATATTTTACCGTTAGTGAATGGACTATATTGTGTATTAACTTTTAATCATCTTTGGTGTCAAGTTCATAAAGAAATGTGAATAATTAACAATATTATTACTGTTTAACAAAATATTAGACCTTAATTTAAAAATAAAAGTTTATTATTTAATTTCTATTGCGCCTCCTATGTTTTACAAAGACGCCGACACTTGAGTGTCGAATTTTGTTTTTATGACTTGCCCAACTGACATCGTAGAAACTATACTCTGAATGGTATCGATATTTGAACTTGCAGGACAAGACTTACCTGTATTTAATTCCTGTTCCGCACTCTCGTCTTTGAGCGGCTCATCGAACAGATGAAGGTACACTTCAATGGCACATTTGGCTGCTTTAAAATAAAACGGATGACCCCGAAGTACGTCTTCTAACCGTAACAGACCTACGTAAGATCTTAGCGTCATTTTTCGCATACAATATGTATGGAAGTCGAATTGATCTTCTATGATTTCGGAAAAATGCTAAAACAAATAGGATATATGAGTAACACAGTAAGTAGACAAATAATTGTGTAAATAATGGAATAAGATAATGCAACAAATCACATGAAAAATGGGCAAATATTATCATTTAGTTTTAAAAATAGGTGAAAAAGCTAATCGTGCATAAATGACTTTGAGAGTCCGATTTAATGATTAACACTGTATCTGGCCCTGTAGCTTTTGGGCTAGATCAACATTGAACAATAATTTCAACAGCATAGTGCTTTAAATACTCTATCTAGAAAGGTTGCCTTTAAACTGCAACGTCTTTTTGTGTTAAGGTTGGTGGCACCATCTATTACAAGGTTTGAGAAATTTTATTTTAATATGGCCGAAGCTGACAGGTGTGTGCGTACATGCTGCTTGAAAGTGAATAAATATTGCACCATAAAAGTAAGTAAAAACGTTGTTGTACAATATTTTGGCTATACATTGAATATAAAGGTTCATTACTTTATTTTTTTTAAATATTTACAGTGAAAAAAGACCTATATAACGGTAAAATCTGCATTCAAAAACTATCTACGTAGGTAAAAAGCAACATTGCCAGTTTATAGCAAGTTGTTTTCTTGAAGATTTTACAAAGAAAACTATTTTGTATTATGGATTTTAAGCCAACCAGGGCTACATGTTTTTATGAGAAGAAAAAAATGTAAATAAATTAAAATGTTTGCAAGAACTCCGATAGACCCAAATATTTGAGATATTTCCCTTTTATCTGATTCGGAAAAAAAATCATTTGCGATACGAAAATATTTTCGAAAACTCTGATGATGAAACAGGTCCAAACAATGTGGTTATACAAGAAATAGATGACGATAGAGAAGCTGATGAGGAAGGATCAAACGAATAAGCAGAAGTTGTACAAAGAAAAAGAGCAAAAAGAGATCTTACCCATTTTAATTGGACAGAAGATGTTGTTCCAACTGTACCAGTCTAATTTGTATAGTACACAAGTAAGAGGAAAATTCATCACTTCGTCGTAAAATAACAGATTTTTTATCCATTTTATTATTGATAGTCGTAATAAATTTACCAGCAGTAGAAGACTATTGGGCAAAATTCTGTAGAATATGCCAAATTGCAGATATTATGCCACTAAAACAATTTTAACTTCTCAGAATATATATATATATATATATATATATATATATATATATATATATATATATATATATATATATATATATATATATATATATACTGCAATGACAACAGCCAAGTACAGACGAAACCAAAGATCGGTATTCCAAAATCAGACCACTTTTGAATGCATTCAGGTTTAATTACGAGAAACATCAATATGAAAATCAGTATTCCATAGACGAAACTATGATAGCCTGCAGGAGCAGTGACATCTTATCGTAATGCAATGGCCCTTCATGCTGGGTCATGGTAGCATTCTGTGACGCGAGCACGATTGATTGGAAACTAAGAATAGCTTTTTCCTTTTCCCAGCATGCGTGGCTCTGTCAGGAATAAGCATTTATTCCCTAGCTTCCCGTGGCAAAAGGGTGGAACAAGAAGAAGAAAGGAGCGACAACGCAGCCTGAGTCACACAGAAACTACAGAAGCCATAATTCCGATAAAGAGAAACTGAAAAGTAGCTAGGAACAGCGATGAAGCTTAGCATAAACCCAAAAAGGTCCAGCTAGCGAGCAAAATGTTGAAGTAAGTATTTAAAAAATTCTTAAAACGGAATTTTATCAGTTTACCTTTTCAAATTTTGAGGTGCTTTTAACCCATTCATGCCCAGAATTCCCTAGTGATTTTTTTTGTGTAATATTTTAGTCACGGAATTTCTATGGTACTTTAAATGTAAAAATGGTATTAAAAATCATATCAGTATCTAAGTGCCAAAATGGCAGCCTTGCAACTCTAGTTGCCACTGGGATAAGCGGTGTAAATATAAGAATAATAAAAAACATTAGTATTTATAGTATTTATTTATTAAATGCTGTTATAACATCAATTTTAAGTGTGAAACACTTTAAAACAGTTGTCAGGGTGTAAGGCAATATCACATTTAATACAAAAATAGGATGTACGATTGCCACAGATCTTACAACGACGATACTTGGACGCACCTTTCTGAATAATATGATCAGTGTGGTCTTTTCTGAGTTTTTGAAGTACAGGTGAAAAATTCAATGACGTTTTGACTCCAAGTATTTTTGGAAGGGTACCAAATGATTTTAAAAGGTCACTGTGCATTGGCGCCTAAAGTTCAACAATGATATGTCATAACCAAGTCGGCGATATAAAAGCCAACCTTGTACACATGCGACATCTACAGCCCATGAAAAAAAAAGGCCATCACCATTTTTTTTATCTAATTCGGCACCGGTAAGAAGCCACGAATTGATCCATTATATCAACGCCTCCCATGTTGCTGTTGTACCGTTCAATAGGACCTGGAATATCGGATAGACTTTTTCATCGGATAGACTTTGTCACAATTGGTAAGCATTGTGACAACGTTATTATCATTCCAGCGAACTAGCAAAAGATCACCAGATGAAGAAGTAGCCAAGTCACCTCTTTGTTTTTTTTTTCCACGCACTTTTTTCTGGAAGTTTCATTGCGGCATTACATCGATTTTCACGTAATGTTCCGGTACCTCCAATTTCTCTGAAACTCAATTCTTGCAACAATGCAACCGACGTAAAAAGATTATCAAAATAAAGTCTATTTCCTTTTTTCAATTGCACGTGATCAATTAAACCTAGAACAACATCACCACCTTGTCCTAGACCAGTTTGAGGAAGGCGTGTGGAAGAGCCACAATACGGTTCAACATGATGGATGTAACCCGAAGGATCGGCAGCTACCCACAGTTTGTACCCAAATCTAATGGGTTTGCCCCTTATAAATTGTTTACTTCCATGTCTCCCGTAATAAGGAATCATACTCTCATCGATGCTTACAGTGGGACCAGGAGTAATTTGCTTGAATGCAGAATTTAGCATATTAAACAAAGGGCGAATTTTATACATTCGATCAGTACCGTCATTGGACTGATTGTCGGCGAGATGAATAAAACTCATAAGTTCATCGAAACGATTTCGTCTCATTGCATTTGAGACTATTGGTGTGTGAACGTCATCGTCTACGGTCCAGTAAAGCCGCCTGCAAGGCAGTGGGTGATATCCCGATAAGAGCATAACCCCAACAAACGTTAAAATTTCTGCCGAAGTAGCGTTAAGGTTGTGTACTAATTTTTGCCCTGCATAAGAAATTTGTTTCGCGAACAATGTGCTCTATTGTATCTTGTGTAAAATAACACCTAAATGCGTCAATCGGGCTCTTAATTGTTTCTTTCAAAAGATCCTCTACATTAGGACGGTATTCGACATCTGGTTCAGGAACCTTTGAAGTAAATTCAAAAATATTTGATTTCCATGTAGTTGGATTTAAACGTGGCCGTTTGGCAGATTTAGGACATTTGGAAGCAGATGGTTGAGAAATACGAATCTGCCGAGAGGTACTCGGTTGGGAAACATTTTCGGTATCATCAGCAGCTTCAATTTCATGACTGTACTTCACACTTACTTGAGAGCGCAGGATACGAGCTCGAAGATGGTTGGTATCGCCATCCACTTCTTCATCCGAGAAATCTGAATCCTTGTCTGTGTCTGCGTCTGGAGGTTCTTCAGGTGGACAAATCGATATATACTCAGGCATTTCATTATCTTCTTTGAGAGCTTCAAGAAGTTCGTGAAAAAGTAACCCCTTGCCATCTCTTCCTCGTACATACCTAAAAATATCACATGATAATCCATATTCCCAGTGGCAACTCAAGTTGCCATGCATTTTTACATATGTATATTGAAAAAAGTAAATGACTGACGAATAACAATTATTGTTAAAAATGACGACAAAAGCTTTCTATTGAAGACAATAAATCATTTGTTTGAAAAAATACATTTATATATTTGTATACTTACATAGAACTGTCGGCGGCCATGAATATAATTATACACGTACAACACCACTATGCACACTATCGATTCTAACTAATTGAATGATAGATACAAACTGTCGCTTTGCAGAATTTGTTAGCCGATAACCCCTTCCATCTAATTTAACTGCACTCTGCGAATAAGAATGTCGGAGAGTGGAGAGGGAGACATTCATAGGCGTGGCAACTGTAGTTGCCAACGGGCATGAATGGGTTAAGGCATTAAGGGTAGTTTGTAATTAAATAATGCTATGCACCATTTTTTAGAGCATACTTTTACAAACAGTTTTTTTATTTATTGTTTTAGGACAAACCTAAGTGAAAATATTGGCAAAAGAGTGAAACCATGTTTTCCGTGAAAATGACCGACACGATGAATCAAAAATGGCCACCATCGACAAAATAATTTTTTTAAAAATAGAATGAATGCAATTTTGTACTTTCTATATACTGAAGTATAAAAGGTAGAAAAATAAAAAATAATAATAGTCAAGCATCTACCTTTGGACCACTTGGCATGGATTGACCCATAGATCGTCAATAATAAAAGCAAATACATTTTTTAACTAACTTAATCTTCGAAATTAGCTCGTCACACCATGTCTCATTTAGTTCTAAATAAGCACTGCTATCTAAACTATTATCTAAATTTCCACTAAATTATGTACAAAGAAAATAGTAATTTTTTAAGACTTACCCTATCTATTTCATGACATTTTTTTAACGCATCTCCGAATTTTCCTAGTCTCTGGTACGCCAGCGCACACTCGGTTTGAAACCACATGCACTGCATTTCATTTAAATTTTCCATCGCCGAAACGCCTTCCCGCGTAAATTTTCCGCACGTTTCTTCGGCTTCTTTCACGTAATTCGCACGTAACATATATTTCGCGCATTTCGAATTTATGTATCGGTCGGCTGTATCTAAGGCTTGGGCCTCGTCTAACCACTTGAGGGCCTCTTGAGGATCACCGGCATGCTAAAAAATATAAATTATCAAATTCCTATTCAAATTATTGGTGTGTACAAGATTAAACACAAAATGATCAAAAGAAAATTATCTAATAGTTTAATTATACAATACAACTAAATATCCTGTTCAATTAATATTGTTCAATTCACCTTTACTTTTTACTCCTTTTCTCTTTGTATAACCCTTGTACACGTCCCCCGTATACCTTGTTATTTTATTAGATTGGTTAAACTGTTGGGAGCTTGTCAACATTGATTATTCCCCACTTCTAACAGGATTGACTTTTGTGTTATTTTTAATTAAAACATTTTATTTTCTGTTAATAATAATATTTCTTAAAAAAGGCATAGATATTCTGCTGAAACGTTGTAAAACAGTGAATAAAACTGTTGAGAAACAGCCATTACATTACTTCTGAAGTGGTCCTTTCCTCAGGTAGCTTACTTTATCGTCTTCGAATATGTCATTCATAAAATTTCGGCCCAGTATCGGGCTACGTAGGTTCCATCTTTGTTGGCGAGCCACAAATCTTCGAAGATACATCGATGAGGACAGTTTCTGCATGTAAGAAGATGTTCCATATTATGTGTTTCTCCACAGTCACAGTTCACATCATCTTGGTTTATTTTTCTCCATTTTCCATGTTTAGTTTTATTGGGGCGACCCCGTTCTTATCCTATTCATAGTTTTCCACGATTAAAAGTGTAGGGACTGGCCACTGAACTCCACTGAACCTGGGGAAGAGGAATATACTCAGGCGGTTCATCCTGCACTGTTCCATGGAAGCTTTTTCTGGATTTTTCTCCAATTCAACCGATCTGTTTAATTTTCTCTATGTGCTCTGCACCACCTCTGCGTGTTGAGGGTTCTGCAAAATCCACTGCTTTATATAGATTTGAGAGTGGCATTGGTTTCATGCACCCCGTTACTATTCTGCATGACTCATTTAGCACAGTATCAACTTGTTTCGTGTGGACAGATCTTCCCCAAACGGGGCAAGCATATTTTACAGTTAAGAAACAGAGTGCCTGTGCCCTTGTTCTTAAAACGCCAGGACGTGCATCCCATTTAGTTCCCGTTAGCTTTCTGGGTATCCTGTACCTAGTTGTTACTCTCTCTCTCTCGTTTTTATGCAATGTTGTCTGTAGGTAAGGGACCGGTCCAGAGTTACTCCAAATTATATAGGTCGATTTGTGTGTTCTAATGTATTACCATTCCGCATAATTAGGAGTTTTCGCTTGGCTTCTTTTGCGCGAAGGTGGCAAGCGCAGACTTGGATTTTAGAGAAATTGGGTCTCAGGGAATTCTGCAGGTAGTACACGCTATTATTGTTTTCAATAATAGGCAGTTTCGAGTTTCTCCTCCACTTCTTCAAAACTATGTCTTTGAGCACATATTGCATCGTCAGCATAAAGGAAGTGCTTGGTTTCGGTCGGAGTAGGTTGGTCGTTTGGTCGTGGGATGCCGTTTTTTTTTAACTCTCCACATGCTTACTTTACCCTCCAGCATAACGAAAAAACGTCTGTTTTGCAAGGCATATACGACCTTACCCAGATGGTGATCATTGAGAGTGCCGTATAATTTGCAGAGCAATGTTTTGTGCCTTACTGTGTCATAGGATGCTTTCAAATCTACGAAAGTAGTCCCTGTTATAATTTTTTCTTCAAAGCCCTCTTCTTAATGTGTTCTGTTAATGCAAGGACTTGACCGGTGCAAGATTTGCGGGGTCTGAATCCTCCTTGTTGTGGGATGAGGTGCTTGTCGAAATGTTTTTCTATTCTGACGAGTATGAGTCTCTCGTATAGTTTGAAAAAAGTGACACAACAGCTAAATAGGTCTGTAGATAGTGAGATTTTCTGGGTCCCGGCCTGGTTTTAACAAAGCTGTTACTTTAGATTTCCTCCATAATTTTGAAATTTCGCAGGCCTTGTTTTATAAAGTTGCAAGATCCACTTTTTTGCTCCTTGGCCTAGATGCTTAATTTGTTCACTGCATATGTCATCCACACCTGCAGCTTTCCCATTTTTTAACTGTTCATACCATCGTGAAGTTCTTTTAGTGTAAAAGGAGTCCTACGTGATTTGTCTCCGAATCCAATCTTCTTCTAGTGTTCTGTTCTTATATCGGTTCGTGGTTCTTCCATTCATAATGGGGGTTGAGCAGCGACTTTGTTTGCTGTAACCTTGCAAGGTGGTTTATGTTCGTTTGGATCACCGCTAACTCTTTTTACAAGGTTCCATGCTCCAGGGTCTCAATCCGCTTTTCTTGTCTGGCTTGACTTAGCTGTTGGAGTAGTACTGCTCCGCAGTCAACCGTTTTTTGGCTAAGAGGGTCAGTGGAATAATGTTCTCATTAGTTCTTTGGATTCGCTGGACATCCCATTAACATGTTGTCTGCATCCTCTGGGGATAGCTTTTCTAGACACACTTTTGAGTGCCTCTACAAAGTTTTCGTAGTTCTCTACTTTTGGTTCAAGGAGTAGCATAAGTAAGCGCATAATTGCAACAAACGGTACAATCAAGTGGCTTCAAAGATCAGCAGATTTGTCCCCAAATGATTTCTTTTTTTGGGGCTTTCTTAAATCAAATATTTATCGACACAATTTTGAACGTGCAGTACATTTAATGGAATTAAGGATAAAAATTGTCCAGCTATGTATCAACATTACGCAGAATCAACTCATTATACAAGGATATCTGTGTTTAATAAATTCGGCTATTGTTTGGCACAACAAGGTGGATTATTTGAATCTTTAATTGATTAATTTTAATAGGTATTTTAAGTTATTTTTAGAATTTTATCTTTTAAGTTTCATTTAGAATAATTATTGTTTTGTTTTTTTTACGAATTTATTTTTAATTTTCAAAGCCGTTACGGCAAAAAGAAACCACATACGAATTTTATTAAGAAACATTATTTGTAAACAGATTTTACAAATAATTTTCCCCCGGAAGTTAATACTTAGGTAATACCAAAAAAAATGGGCTTTCCAAGTTCATCCATTCCCCATCGGTTATAAATTATTACTCTGACTACCAAAAACGATCTGTGCTCTCCCTCTCGCACTGAAATGTAATGTGGGGTTTCCCTAACTTTTACACGTGGTGAGAGAGGCAACCTATTTGTGTGGAAATAGTTAATATTCCAGCAGTCCAGTGGAGTATTTGATTTTTATAATATAAATCAGGGGTGCTCAAACGGTCGATCGCGATCGACTGGTCGATCGCGAGTGCTTTTTGGGTAGATCTCGAGAAGAAAAAAATTTTAATAAGTAGGTAGGTAACTAATCTACTGTCAGCAGAGTTAAACGTTTTTATTAATACTGAATTATACAAATAATAGAATGCTTGACTAAGCATCATTGCAATTCAAAGAAGTGGGGACAACAAAATACTGTCCACACAGCATATTTTATATTTACATATATTAACTAATTATTTTATTAATTCAATATTTATTTTAATATTAATCAAATTTGGGATGATATTCTATCAACTACAAAAATGTATTACGTAATAAAATAACACTGCTTGCAGCAAAAGGTGGCTTTATCAAAGGAACGCGCGGCACTTGTCAAAGAAAAGCCGTGTTGTTTCTAGACGAGAGACAGTACAGTCTAGTTTCGGGCGGCGCGTTTAACGGCAACATTCGAGATTTTCGTTCACGCCGATATAAATGTTGCGCCTGCAGGAATTGGAAATATTCTGAATTGTAACTTGATAGCGATCCTACGTCGATACAAAGTTTATTATTAAATAGTGAAAAATGAGTGCAGTGAAGAAATCTAAAACGTATCATTTTAATAAGGATTGGGAGGAAGAATTTTTCTTTTCTATGGTGAAGGATAAGTGCATTTGTGTTATTTGTCGTGCGTCAGTTGCAATACCTAAGCGTGGTAACTTAGAGAGGCATCATAAAACGGTTCATAAAAACTATGAAAAGGATTTTACGCCACAGAGTGAATTAAGAAAACGAAAAGTAAGTGATTTGATATCTTGTTTGAAAAAAGAACAATCCATGTTCACAAGACCAGCCAAACAATCAGAAGCTGCTACGATCGCGTAATTTAAAAAATCTCATATTTTGGCGAAACACAAGAAACCATTTGAAGATGGATCGGTGGTGAAGGAAGCATTTATTGAAGCGGGTGAGACTTTATTTGGAGATTTTAAAAATAAAACAGAAATCATGTCTGCTATTAGAGAACTTCAGTTATCTCGTCCGACTGTCACAAGGTGTATTGAAGTCATGAGTCAAGACATCGCAGATAAACTAAAACATGATATCATGGAATGTACATACTTTTCTTTACAGTTCGACCAATCCATCGATATGACAGACACTGCCCAGCTGTGTATTTTTATTCGGATGGTATTCAATGACATTTTGGCTAAGGAAGAATTTTTGACAATCATTCCTCTGAAGGGGAAGACCCGTGGCGAAGATATATATGACGTTTTCTTAAATTTTGTAAAAAACTACGAGCTACCAATATATAAATTAATGTGCATTACAACCGATGGAGCACCAGCAATGACTGGAAACAAAAACAATTTTTTCATTCCATTGCATTATACATCAACAAGTTCTGTGTTCAAAAGTTTTAAACACGGAGGAAATTATGGGCATTGCAACAAAAATTGTGAATTCCATCCGTGCACGTAGCTTGCAACGGCGGCTCTTTCAGTTGCAGTTGGAAGATAGGGAGTCAGCTGAACACACTGATTTAGTTCTTCACACGGACGTCAGGTGGTTGAGTCGCGGAAAATTCCTAGAAAGGTTTCAAGAATTATTGCCCGAAATAACAGCTTTCCTAGACGAAAGAGGTAATGACACTCAGATTTTGAAAAACGAAAAATGGCTAAATGATTTGGCATTTTTGACTGACATCACAATGCACTTAGGAAAAACTATTATTGAGATGATTAGCGCAATAAACGCATTCAAAAGTAAATTGCAACTTATGATAGATCAACTGAAAAGAAAGGATCTGAAACATTTTCCGTCTTTGAAAGCAAGGATTCCTCAATTGAATTATGATACGTATGAGGCTGAATTATCAAATATTTTGGGACAATTCGAAATGCGTTTTTATGATTGCAGTAAATTGGAAAATATAGCATCATTTATGAGTTATCCTTTTTCATGTAAAAATATTGAGGAATTAGCTACTGAAATAGCAAGTCAGTTTAATATGAACTCATGTTCTGTTGAAAATGAGTTGGTGCAGATTATATCAGATATACATCTCAAAGCTACAGTATCTGATACAAATTTCTGGCGTTTTATATCTGAAGATAAATATCCGAATGTAAGGCAAATCGCCCTTCAACTGACGGCATTTTTTGGGTCAACTTACTTGTGCGAGTCTGCATTTTCTGAAATGAAGATAATTAAGTCAAAATATCGCAATCGACTAACTGACGATCATACGACATCATGCTTGCGATTAGCACTCAGTGGTTACGTACCATCTTATGAAAAGTATGCTGAGGACATGCAGTGCCACGCTTCAAATCCAAAGCCACTCCTTAGTTAAGTTTAACACCATATGTAAGTCTTTTGTTTTGTAACAACAAATAAACTCGCCATTTTGAATAACTATGAGTTTTTTCATTGATATTGTAGAGAAGAACCTAACTAAACCTAACCCAAACCTTGACTAAAATTGTACTAAAATGTACCTATATTGTGCAGAAAGCTAATATCTATATATGCTACGGTACGCCCTACCTAGGTAGGTAGGGTGTATCGTGTATGTACGACAACCCTGCATCACACACACTTGCAGTCTCTCAAAGTCGATCGTAAGTAGTCTAAAAATATTGAGGTAGATCGCCAGCAGTTCAAGTTTGAGCACCCCTGATATAAATCTTTGAAAACCTTTTATTGCCAACTGCAATGGAGCGAAGTCGAGTCCGAATACATGTAATTTAGATCTCTGTTTTTTTTTTGCTAGATGTGTGTGTATATTTTTAGTTTTCCTCCTCTAAAGGCTCCTAGTATATAAGCTATTTTTATTTCTCCTCCTCTAAAGAGTCCTAGTATCTAAGATAGATAGAAATAAGTTTTTAGTGTTGTAGGCTCAATACCCACCTTTTTATAAACAAATATGCCGATACTGCAGTATATGAATAATTTTTTTTTAAATATAACCCTTATTAAGTTATACGCTCATATATCTACTCCTTGGGATCAAATGAAGCTTTTGTACTCACCTTATATATTCTACCCTTGACAACAAAAAGTTCAATTAAGGTGGGAGTGTGTTCAATAGCGGCATCGATATAACTTAATGCCTTTTCAGTCTGTTTTAAAAAGTCAAAATGTTGCGCCAAATAGTAGTAAACCCACAAGAGGGCACTAGCCGGTTCTTTGGGTCCGTTATTAACTTCTAATTCACTGTATTTACCAACCTAAAATAAAAGCAAACATATATAATAAATTGTATAAATTACATTTCATAAATTCACGGAGAATACATAATACTAATGGCACAGAATGAATGTTCATATCCAAAAGTCCATATTTACTCTTCAAACGATTAAAAAAACCAACCAAAATATTTCCAACTTCTTATGGGACAAATACACACGACTTAGAATGTTTGGAAAGTCCATAAGGAAACTAAGTTCCTGTAGCTGCGAATGATCATTTGCGAAAAATAAAGTTGTTAGAAATTTACCATCGCCTATGTCTATTCCCATTCCGGATACTTGTTTCCTCCACTGCTCTAGCGATGATTGAATATATATTTTAAATAAGGTCGGTGATAGACAACATCCTTGTTTAAGCCCCTTTGTTATTGGAAATGATTCAGATATAAAGTTTCCTTCTTTAACGATACTTCTTGCATTTTTGTATATATTTGCGATAGCATCCACATACTCTCTACTGAGACCTACTTTCGTCAATGTTTGAAACAGTTTTTTCAAAGGTACCGTATGTATGCCTTCTCTAAATCTACAAACAATAGATGGGTAGATAGATTCCTTGCCTTCCGTTTTTCGATTACCTGCTGCAGAATGAATATACCATCTGTGCACGATCTTCCTGCACGAAATCCATTTTGTTCTTCTATATTTACGTATTCTGATTCTATTCTTTTTTTATTATTATTTGACTATACAACCTCCCCACTGAGCTGATAACAGTTATTCCCCTATAATTAAAGCATTTGCGTTTATTCCCTTTCTTGAATATTGAGCTGATGTATCCAATATTCCATTGATGATACCAGTGGATTTGATAACATGGCAATGTACGACTCTACATGAAGTTGTTGGTCCTGTGACAAAGTGTCTACGAGGACTTGATGATAGCAACTAGTCAGTTGCTATGTATATATGTATACAATGCTAAGAAGGCATGATATACAAGCTCCTCCGTACAATCTCCTGTAAATTCACCGCTCGAATAATTAACAGCGTGCTATCCGACCGAACGATACATGTGAACCGACATCAGCACCACAAAAAAACTGAAGAATGGACTGCCTTAAAGATATGTCCTAGCTCCTCTTTTCTTTAGCCTGTACATCGCTGATATACCACAAGGCAGTTTGATAGCTGATAACTGCGTCCTTGCAATAAGATGTAAGTTATTTGAAGAAACAGAAGAAATCCTCACGGCGGACTTACACACAGTGGGAAAGTATTTTGGTAAATGGAGGCTCCGACCAAACGCTGCCAAAACAGAGGTTTCCAGATTCCACCTAAATAACAAGCTTGCAGGAAGAACACTCAACATCAATTCGAAAACACCATACTCGCCAACAATAAAACACCAAAGTATCTTGGGGTGACTCTTGACAGAACCCTATCTTTCAAGGAACATCTGTCAAAAACAGCGGAAGAACTTAAATGCAGAAAAAACATCATCCAGACACTGTGCGGCACAACATGGAGAGCATCGGCTTCCACCTTGCGATCATTTGTCCTGGGCCTTGTCTTCTCAACTGAGGAATCCTGGTCTTCAGCCTGGCTTAACAGCCCACATATAGACAAAGTAAATGCCCAATTGAACAATACAATGAGAATGATTGTTGACGTTATCAAATCCACCCCTACGTAATGGCTCCCAGTACTGAGCCACATTTCACCACCTTAACTATGGCCCATACACTCCCTCACTAGTGTTATGAGTGTTCTGCTTTGTCTGGTGTTGCCGTAAGTTCTTTCATTTTTTATGTAAGTTTGAGTTGTCATGTTTGCTGCTGAGTTCTTCCAGTTCCTGGCAGTCCTTGTTCATCCATTCCTTCTTAGCCTTTCTGATTTCATATTTGATTTTATTTTTGATGGTTTTATATTTATTTCCATCTTTACTTTTGTATTTTCTTTTTTCAGTTATTAGCTCAACTATTTCCGGTGTCATCCAGTCTTTTTAGTGGTTTTGTCTTCTTCGCCTAGGACCTCTTTTCCCGCTTTTAGTATGGCTTTTTTCATATTTGCCCATTCCACGCTTCCTTTAGTTAATTTATTTATCTCTGCGCATTAAGTGCGCAGTTAATCATTAGTTGTTGTTGGAAGTTGTCGTGTTTTAGGTTTTTGATGTTTATTTTGGTGGTTTTAACTTTTTTCTCCAGTTTTCTGAGTTTAATGTTGACGTTTGCTAGTAATAGATTATGGTCCATATCTGCATCTGTGCTTGGATAGGTTTTTGCACTTTGTACTCCATTACGAAACCTTTTGTTATCTATTTGAGTTCTGATTATATTGTTGGTGTTATCTTTTGGAGAAGTAAAAAAAAGCGTACGATTGGTAACACTATAAAATGTTAGTAAAAAAAGTAAACAAATGGTCCTAAAAGAAATACCGTCAAAGATATTACAACAAAATATCATTTTGCAATAATGAAGATATACTTACAGTTTTTAATGCTTCCACATATTGTAATAACAAATTTTGAATAATTTCTACTTTATGTTTGTCTGAATACAGGCTTCTCAGGTCCACGAAGAGAGGAGGAACTCCCTTAGATAGAGCCTTCCTCATATACTTGTCCACTAGAGTTTTGAACTGTTCTCCTGTGGCATAATTCAAAGGCAGTCTTCTAGGCGGCATTGCTCGAGGAAACTTTTCCAAATATTTAGTATAAAAATCTACGATATCTTGAGGATTGGACAATTGTTTAGCGTCTATTAATTTATTATAATAATTTGTGTTTTCGGGATTTCTTTGGATGAGTTCTTCGTAGCAGGTTGTCGCTTTATCAAATTGTTTTAATAATAGACACAGTTCGCCCAGATTTTCCTTTAAGGTTAATTTGTCGACTATTTGGTTTTGTGAGGCTTCGAGGTGTTTGAGGGCTTCTTTCAAATCACCGGATTCTTGGATGACGAGGTTTTGGTATAAGAGAAGTTCGCTGTGTTCATAGTCAAAATTGTTAGCTTTCTAAAACATAAAAAATAATGATTCGTAAGAACATTTTCAAAAAAAAAATTACTGTATGCTATTTGACTTTTAATTATTACAATAATATTACTATTATTAATAATCCAAGAGAATCAAATGATTATTAAAACGTTAGTTTGAAAATATATATTTACCTGTTGTTCCAAAAATGTGTCTAAAATATTAAGTGCATTCTTATATTCTTCTAATAAATGGAAAGACATTGCATAACCAATCCAGGAAGCCCTTTGTGTTGGTCGAAGCATAAGTAATTGATATCTGGTATCCTAAAATGTATGAAATAATTAATATTCAAGAAAAAAATACTCTATATAAGGGTAGCCCGATAAGTACTTAGCCTAAAAAAGAAAAACTTTTCGAGGTCTGCAAAGTAGGCCTCAGTGGCGGCGAAGACCTCCTCATTCGACTCAAATTTCCCGCGGTGAGTGATTTTTTCAAGTTTGGAAACAAAAAGAAGCCACACGGTGCAAAATCTGGAGAATACGGTGGATAGGGCAGCAGTTCGTAGCCCAATTTGGCCGTGACGAAGGAAAAAAATTAAAAAAGCCGATTCTTTGATTTAAAAAATCTGAGAAGCGGCTCTAATTATGTTAAATAAATCTAATTGCGTCGTAAATTCCTCGGCAGAATGCAGTAGGTTGTAGTAGAAATAATAATGAAGTCATTACTTACTCTATACCCTTCCAGATCCCGCATCTGTATTTGCAGCAAAGACAGATCCCTAAGAATTTGAATATTATCTTTTTCCCACTTGAGAGCATTTCTATAGCACTTGATGGCCTCATCATACTTTTTGTCAGACCTCTGTAGCAGTCCATAAACATGCCAACACACGTGAGATTTGAGGTCATTTCTTAAACCTCGTCTGACATATTCGTAAGCTTCCTCTTTTCTACCTAGGCAGTTGAGGGTCAAGCCTTTCATCGCAAGGGTCTCTGGAAACAAAAAATGTTAATTTAGCTTTAAAAAAAATTCAAAGGTATGTTATAATTAAACAAATCGTTGTTTGCCACATAAACACATTAATTATCTCTTAATAAATTTGATATTTAATGTAATACTGATTTATAGGCTATTGCAGTGTTATGATCTTTCTTGTTATAGAAAAATTAAAAAGATAATAATAGTATGATATTCAAAAAATCATTGTTTTTTTTATTTTATTTATTTATTTATTTAATACACGGGATATCCCCATTAACAGTTTAAATTACAATATACAATATCACAGTTAGGATTCAAAACTTGAAATTACTTATTATATTAAAAAGTATCAAAAATGAGACTAAAAATCGTACATACCTACTAAAAAAAACAAACAAAATATATAACAATAATTCAACAAAATTCAACAATCCCAATATACTTATCACAAAGCAAGAGATCTTTTTAACTGAGTTAAAGTTATATTGAAAATATCATAAACGAGAACATTTAATAGTCCCATGGCTATTTAATTTAATTTACATTTAATATATCCAATGGGTTGTGAATACTGTAGGTTGTTCTGTGGAAAGGAATATTGAAAACATTGTGGTAACGTAGAGCTTGATGGGGAACATTAAAGTTAATCTGGCTTAACAGGTTTGGATAATCAATAAATCCATGTAGGATCTTATATATAAATAAAGCTCCTGACATATCACGACGGTTCTTGAGTGAAGGTAAAGATAATTGTTGTTCAATATGGGAATAATCATGATTTTCAATAGTAGTGTGGACATGGTAAGATCAATATCTCAAAAATTTATTCTGGACTCTTTCTACGGTATTAATATTGTTCTAAAAATAGGGTGACCAAATAACTGAACAATATTCCAAAATAGTTCTAACTAAGCAACATTACACGAATCTTGTTGAATCAATGGGGAAATACTAGTACTATTTTTATACTACTACTCAAAGTTTAGATGCCTTTATTGAATTAGAGTTTATGTGGTCACATAAAGTAAGCTTCTAATTGAAAGTAACACTCAAATCCCAAATAGAAGAAACATAATTCAATGGCTGATTATTAATAGTATAGCTTGTTCCAATGCTATTGACTTTACGAAAAAACTTATAAAACATTTTTTTATACTTAAGTGGAGTTTATTCTGATTGCACCAATTTTGTAGTCGGTCTAAGTGATTGATCTTTTAAGCTATCTATAACTTTCCAAAATTTCAAGTCATCTGCCAACATTAGGCATTTGCTCTTTAGGAAACAGGTCGTTAATGAAGATATTAAAAAGAAGTGTAGAAATGTGGCCTCCTTGAGGAACTCAAGATGTTACTGAGATACTGTCAGACAGATGCCAACCTATCTTGACTCTGACTTATCCCAGATGTATAGTTTTTAATCCATTCAACAAACCTGATATGATAGCCTACACTAATTATTTTGCCCAAAAGTATTTGGTGATCGACATGATCAAATGCTTTGGAAAAATCTGTGTATTTGTTTACAGTCTTCCGTATTAGATAATATATCAGATTGATAGCAAACCAAGTTTATTGCAGTGGATTTTTTGCTATGAAAACCATGTTGTGATTGAGATATTAAGCCTTTACATAACCAAGAAAGTTGCTTTACTATAAGACAGTCAAAGAACTATGTTGTCTTTGACCATTTTTAAATATAGGAACAACATAACTTTCTTTCCATGAAACATAGAGGTTTCCAGAGATCTATTATAACAATATAACAAATGACATTAAAAGGGTACACACACTTTTTTAATAAAAAATTAGGCACTCCATCTAGGCCAGCAGTAAGCTTATTGGGCAGCTCATTTATACCATTAAAAATATCAGTTATGGTTATCTTAGAAGGACAAATATTTGTACTAAAGTTGCTATTTAATGGATGGATAAGTATGTAAAGGTTGTTATTTGGTGAATACATAGTTTGGAAGAAGTTCATAAATAAATTAGCTTTACTTAATAAAATAAGGAATTGGGTAGGTTATGACTAGATCGCTTATCATTGATGTACTTCCAAAATGATTTTGGATCATTTCTTAGGCCAGTATCTATACCTTTAAAATAGTTGCCGAGGCAAATTTCAGATAGTTGTTTACATTCAGCTCTTAGGTGGAAAATCTAATATAGTCATCATCAGAATGATTGAACTTTGATCAGACAGTGATGAAACACTATCTGATCATAGAGGAAAACATAAAAATAGACCACATGCAACCTCTGATGCAGTAAAAGTAGATGTAAGAGAGCACATTGAATCTTTTCCTAAAGAAGTGAGCTACTATTCAAGAAATAACACTCAAAAAGCTTATTTTGCATCCAGGCCTATCCATAAACAAAATGTATCTACATTTTACGGCAAAATTTCCCAATTTTCGTTGCAGTGAAAATCTACACCGATACATATTTAATTCTGAATTCAACTTGAGATTTGGTATACCTACATCGAACACTTATGCGCAATGTGATAAGGTTTTATGTTGAGCTTGTATGTGTCAAATCTGAGGCTGAAATGCAGAGACTTCAAATCGAAAGCAAGCTACACCACGCAAAAGCAGAACAAGCACATGCTACCTTAAACGAGGATATAAAATTAGCTCAAAATAATCCCAATAGTATTGTTCTATGTACAGATCTACAGCAGGTACTGTTTTGTCCGATGCTAAAACATTCTAACAAATTGTATGGCATGAAATTGTAGCAAAAATAGGTTCATCTGAAACAAAATCCTGTCTATTGAAGTATATTACCATTAACTTTAATCCCATAGAAAAAAGAGACAGAAAATTATTTGTTTAGTCAGAACGATGTATAGGTCAAAAGAATAACTGGCGTAATATTGCATTACACCAGTACCTGGCCACTATGAGATATTGTACCTCTATGTAGCAAAGGTTTTTAATCAGTGGACACAGATTCTTACCCTGAAATAAGAATTTCGCCCTTATTGAGCGTAAGAAAAAAAAACAGCATCAGTGTATCATCCAAAAGATTGGATTGAAGTTACAGCCAAAGCAAGACTGAAAATTTTGTACCAAATAACTGAAGCAGTTTGGTACAAAATTACCAGTGATGATCTTACAAATCTATTATGTCACACAATTCAGTATTAAGCCACAATGTATTGCGACCTTAGACTGCTCATCTCTTGTTCATAAAGTCTCATCAATCTTTAGCATAAAGATGAGTTAGAAATCTTTTTTTGCCACCAGTTGCCATTCCAAGAGAAAGTCTTCCTGTGTTGTATAAGAATCCTTTGCCGGTAAAGAAAGAAAAAAAGCAACTTAGTGGATATGTGTGCTTATATTCATAACCCAGAATATAGGGAATGTTACTTAAACTTGCCTTCAAAGGAAAACTAAAAATCATTCTTTTTATCTTTAATATATAAAGTAGATTTATATAAATAAATTTTGACAAATCCTTGAAAAATAAATATTATTTTTTTAAAAAGCACTTGTATTTGTCTTATTCCCTTATTTACATTGTGTTTTGATTGCTAAAGATTGTGTCAATAAAAAAAAGCTTACACAAAATGTTAAAAGGTTGTAACCAACGCATTTTGATGAATTTCAGTGATGTTACAACCTTGTTCCACTAAACTGGTTTTCTATCGCAGTTTATAGTGTTAATTTTTTATATATAAAAATTTATGGTACATTATTCTCTCAAAAATATTTTCGTTTTCCTCATCCACCAATAAAAAGTATATTTTTGATCTTACATTTGATAACAAGCAAAACCCCACCAAAACATGTTTTTGTAGATTACAACCTTATTTGGGGCAGCCATTCAAATTTTAAATAGACATCACTTTATTAGACTGCGAAATTTATATAAAACAAAATGAAAATGAATACTTCACTTTTTATGACCTTATAAATGGCAATTAGTTGAGTTTTTTACTTATTATTACTACCACTAACCCTGAATACTAATAAGGTAGTTAAATGTGTTTTTTTTTAAATTTTATTATGAGAAAAAATGTAGATATCAATAATCTTTTATAAAGTTCATATAAAATGCTAGAAAATACAATTCTCATACAGTATTAAAAACTGAGATACTACAAATACACAAAATATAAAACTAGGACTAGCATAGGGAGACATATTATCAATTAGCATTGCAGTAATGCACTTATGAATGCAATCAAAGCAATTGAAACTAAAAAAAAAGCAACAAAACAAAATTAACAATTATATAAAGTCATAGCTTATGCAGATTATACAGTTCGAATTATATGATAGAATAAATCAAGGTATAATAATGAGTAACTACTTCAGGGACAAAACTATTTCCATTAGAATGGAATGCTGAAAATAACAATATTAGAAAGTGTCATTGCAGACACTGACGATTTATAAGTACTGGTAACAAAAACAACAGCAGAAATCCTAGAATACTTTAATTATAAAGCACTAGAAAATAAAACTGAAAACTTAATTTAGCAATAAAACTAAAGGTACTGGTAGAGATCCAAAATGAAAAATATGCAGTGGTGATAATTCCAGATAAACTGATACAAATTATACAAGGACAACAATATGAATAAAAATTAAAGTAACAAATATCCCTTAAACCTCATAGCATAGAAACAATGTCTTTGTGTACTGTTTTGGAATACTTTCAATTATCTAATATTTAACTATCTAATATTTAACTATCTAATATTTAACTATCTAATATTTCAACCCATATATTTTTTATCATGAGAGAGTTATATCTTGAAATCATAAAACTACAGAACCTAAGCCTACGAGCTCACCTGAAACTGGTTTAATTGAATCTAATCTTTGTACTTTTTGACTTTTTATCATCATCATCATCATTGGTGCTACAGCCCTATAAAAGAGCCTCGACTTTCCCAAGTCTATTATGTCAATCAGTTCTATCCATTGCCAACTGTTGCCAGTTTGCTGCACCTATTTTTCTACCATCCTCATCTACACCATCCTTCCATCTGAGTTTTGGCCTACCCCTACTACAATCCCATAGGTTGTGACATAAGGATTCTTCTAGGAGGGTTGTTCTGTTGTGATCTTGCTGGATGACCTGCCCATCTTAGTCTTCCTATTTTTATAAGAGATACTATGTCTTTACCACCAAATATATGTTTATAGCTGTGATATATCTCGTAGTTGTACATCCTTTTCCAAACACCATTTTCACAGATGCCACCAAATATTCTTCTCAGGATCATTCGTTCAAATATAAGCAGGAGGCTTTCATCTGCCTTGGAAATGGTCCATGTGTCCGATCTATATGTCAACACCGGTTGTATATGGTTATTTTTGTTTTTTTTTGGTTTTGATGCTTCTCATATGTCTACTCAATCCAAAATAGCATTTGTTTGCTAGGACTATTCTTCGCTTGATTTCTTCCGTCATGTGTTCTCCTTGGTGATCAGGGAGCCTAAGTATGTGAATTTGTCCACCACTTCAAAGGTAGAGCTATCGTGAATTGGTGGCTGATGTTTCTGGATCTATTGTTGGTTGTTGATGCCACTATCTTAGTTTTCTCCTCATTTACTTGCAGGCCCATATTTTTAGAGGCATTTGACAAGGTGGTACACATTTCTTCTAGGTAGCGTGTTGTGCAGGCAACTAGGTCAACATCATCTGCATATGCCAAAATTTGGGATGATTTATTAAAAATGTTTCCTCTGTTATCTATTTGGGCATCCCTGACCGCCTTTTCCAGAGCTATGTTGAAAAGAAGACACGCTAGCGCATCTCCCTGTTGCAGCTCAGCATGCGTTTCAAATGCCTGTGGTTGTTCGCCCTGTATTTTGACTTTGCAAACAACTTTACACATTGTAGCCTTAACCAATCTTATCAGTTTAACGGGGATGTGGACTTCATCCATGGCTTCATACAATTTATTTCTTAGGACACTATCATAGGCTGATTTAAAATCTATGAAAAGATAATATATGTTGATATTGAATTTATTGGTTTTTTCCAGTATTTGCCTTATCACAAAGATCTGTTCTGTTGTTGATCGACCAGGCCTAAAACCACTTTGATATTCGCCAAGAAGCTCCTCTGAATATGCACTCAGGCGACCATATAAAATACTCGAAAATATTTTGTATGCTGTATTAAGGAGGTTTATTCCCCTATAGTTTCTACATTCCAATTGATTACCCTTTTTGTGTAGCGGGCAAATGATCCCAATACACTACTCTTCCAGGATTTGTTCCTCATTCCAGGTAAATATGGTTAAGTTTTCTTTATTTTTTATTCTACATTTTCTACACTATCTATTCTACATTTATGAAATGCATCATCACCTCTCTGACTTACTATCTGTTCTTTTAAATGAGTCATATGAATCAAAGTATGAGCTGGTATAAGAACATCCAAACCCATCACAAATACCATGTTTGTGCTGGTGTTTATCAAACCTTAAAAATATAAATCTACAGAAGAACTCACATTATACGATGATATTATGCTATTGCGATGGAAGTGTTAATATTACACAGTCTTTTACAACTCATAGTTTAATATAGTGTAAGGTGAGTTTGTTTATCGTTAAGGATACTTGAGCTGTCCTCTCTTCTTCATTGGTTGAGGACCTTAATTATGAGCTGTGTTTTAGAGGCCAACCATCCATGACGCTGACAGCTGTCAAAGCAATCAACTTATATCAAAAGGAGTAGATAGAATGAAAAAATAAGCATGCATACCAACGAGGCGTTTACACATTGAGTTCCTTGAATATTTCTGGTATCTGTATATATACATAAATAAACTTTAATGTTGAGCTACAATCTTGTGTTTATTCTACATGATCTACTATACTTTTGAGAATAAGACACAATTTTAACACAAATATAAGGAATCTAAAAGCTCTTAAACATATCCAAAATGTCTAGAATGCATTTAAATAGCATGCAAAAACCAAGTGCAATTTCCAAACTCAAAGAAGGTTGGTTACTAAGGCAAATAGCTGCTGATCTAAACGTGAGTCATATGTTTATATGGAAAATCAAACGAAGATGGGATCATTTTCACTATATAACCAGGTTGGGTGGTTCAAGAGGGCAGAAGATCTCCACGGAGCAGTAAGATGAGGTGTTAGTAAATAATCTGAGACCGCGTTTCCAGGCAGCATGTGCACTGCACATAAAATGAGGATCACAAGAGGAGAAGAGTTGCATTTTGTAATCAATTTATACACTGTGAAGACAACTTTTGGTCTAATGTTTGAATTTTTTTATGAAAAAGTGTTTCAATCATATAGCAATGGTCAAATATTTATTCTTTATTCTTAGAAACTGTAATCAGTTTTCAGTGCAAACTTTAAAAATGTTATACTTTAGTTTAGTTCGATCAGTTTTGGAGTATGGTTCTCTCATTTGGTCTCCTTCATATAACAGTGACATCTACAGTATCGAGAGAGTTCAAAATAAATTCTTGAAGGTATGTGCTTACAAAATTGGTTTTACATTACATTGGGTATGTGCTTACAAACCCATTACAAGAATTTTACGAACTGCCAATGAGCACAGCAATAGTTTAGAGTTATTTGGAATATCTACAGCAACATTTAAGAAATCATTTGAGAGATTTTGGGCATTATTTAATAACATAACTAAATGAGATAACAAATATAGTGGGGATGCCAAAGAACTGTCTATAGAATTTAAATTGAAGAATTGAAATATAAAAATATTGAAATATATTAAAATAAAAATATTTGAATGTTTCACTCGATATTTTGGCATATTTCACAACAATCCCAACAACTTCCCACATTATTTAACAAGATTTGATAGAATAATAGTCCAAACAATTATTGTCCTCTACTGAAGAAAGCAAAACAGAGTCTTATCAGCAGCAAAGGTTAAAAAGTGTGTTGTGATATTATCATGCAATTGTATTGATCTACTACTCGGAAAATCATAATCCAGGATAAGGAGCCTCATTAGGTATTTCTTATCATGATACACAGCTGCTAACAAATCTTATATTATAATGGCTAACATTTGTACAATTATGTAGCATTTAATAGTGTTCAATTTGGTCGTTTTCCCAGGTTTGATTCCCAAGATTATTTGTTCCTGATCCTAAAAAATAGCCTTGAACTAAATGATTTTTATGTGATTCTACAGTAATTACTACTAAAAATAACTATTTTATTAATTTGGATTAATCAATATATTATAATCAAAGCAATGTTAATTTGAAATATGATTGGATTTAGTGTGGTAAGTGAAAAACAGATTAGCATAAAATCTTTGCTACACTGCATAGTTATTAATATTGATTGGGATCTAAACACTTGGTCTAATCAGTTATAGAGAATGTCTATAATAAAATTAAGAGTTTTCTATAAAAGAAAGTGTCTCCAAAGTTAAGTACTAGCTCTCAAATTCCCTTTTCACAAGTCATAATTTGAGTTTCTTTAGAATCAAGATAATCACGAAGAAAAAGATAATTTGACTTCACTATGATAGCATGCTAGTTTTTAAAAAATAAAGGAAACAATATTTCCATATTATGTAATTGTTATTGAATTTTATATACACATTTATTTTATATGCAAGAGTAAAAAGTTTGGAGAGAATATGTATAACTGGCAAATTTTTCAAAACCTTAGTAGGTTTGCAAAGGGATTTATCGTATCTACTGTCTAATATATCCATTTCTTGAACATTGCACAAACTATTTCAATAATGGACAATTCAACATGCCTGGCAGATTCAATGATAGGTATTTTACAAAAATAACTAAATATATTAGTTTTTAATTGACATTAAGGCAATGATTTTTGCCAGAGAAGGTAAGTACTTCCAGTTAGTATACCTTAGTATAAAAGGTATTTGAATTTGACATCAACATAATGATCAAAACACACTTTTCATTATTTATAGCTCAGATTTATATCATAAAAAAGTAAATTTAAGTTAATGGCAATAAATTGTTTCCCTATTATGGCAATAAATCGGTAAAAACTGTATGTATTTCCCTTTGCCAAAGCTTCACTGTTCCAATTCAAAATATTTTACTAACCTCCATGTTCTGTGTATTTGGGATTTGAGAGGATTTGCTTCGCAAATTTCAAACCATTTTTGTACTGTTTCTGCTCGTAACACTTCTAAAAATCATAAAGAGAAGCGAGTTATTATTCAATCAAACATTAAACTAATCATAGAACCCCAACAAAATCAACCACAAAGCAATGTCATTTTATGAAAACATTTCCTAATTTCAAATGAAATACCACATAAAACTTTGAACTTAACGAATAATTTGTAATAATGAAACATAACTGTCATAATAGGTTCAAAATAAAACGAAAATTCCGATCAAATCCATTATATTTTGCTCATAATTCAAATTGTTGGAGATTCGGCTTGAAGGTACTAACCAAGATTCTTTTAAATAAGGCATTTTCTTTCGGTGGTAGCGGCTTACTAGAGGGCATTTCTGATTTTTCACTTTAACTGTGAACGTTTTAAACCCGGTGAAACAAAATATACAAATTTTAAAGATTATTAAAAACCTCGTGGCCACAAAGTTCTCCAATGTCGATCGTGATCACGTGACCTAAAGTGGCAGCTGACATTAGCATGACAGTTAAGTTACCGATAACGCAGATGTCTTCTGCATGTATGAGATGTATTGTTGAAACATAGGCGTATCTTTGACACAGGGAGAGGTAGGTATATTTTAATTAGGAAAGAGTACACACCTAAAATTTATAAAAAACAGACCTCATTAAAATTCTGTGTATTTATTCGCTTTCAATTATATAAATCAAAGTATAAATTCAAGAATGTTTTTGATTTTATTGAAGTATTGATGTTTATATGTTTACGTTTACTTTTGATGTGTATATTTACGTTTGTAAAAAGTTTGTAATTATATTAAAGGACTTTAAGAACATGAGATACGAGGCAATAAACTTATAAGGACAGGATTGTGATACAACCAGATATGGTTACTTGGTGGAACATTTGGTGGATATGGATATTTTATAATAATAAGTAAGGTAATACGAGAAGCTAAAACCATGTGATCAACTATAAACTCTTAAGTCAACTATAAGGACACAAAATAGGTCCTACTACTCTATCCTTATAAACTAATGTCTTGTTTCCCAATAAGCTGTCTAAAGGATAGATGAGTTTAGTTACTGTTAATGCTGATACCAGGGTCAGAACAGAAAAAAAATCATACCAATTGAATTTAAAATGATATAGGTACGTAGCTAATCTGTTTAGACAAAAGTAGTTATTGCCAAAAATTACTTGAATTAGTAATCGGCTGTAAATATCAGTCTTTTTTTAGAAAGAATGAACACATCACAGTCTCTCTCCAGAATGAAAGATGTCCATCAATCCAAATGAAAGACCACACTTTACATCAAGCTGATGAAGTTAGGTAAATATTTCGGAATGCATCTGGACAGAATACTTACTTAGTAAAAATCTATATTCACCAAGCGTAAGTAAGTAGTTTGGGTTAAACCAATTATATTAAATTATAGTCAGAAACTCAAAGTTATCTGTAGAAAACAAACTACTAATCTAAAAAAAAGTTCTGAAACCAATCTAGACCTATGGAATCCTGCTCAGTGGCGCCGCCTTCAACAGCAATATAAAAATAATTCAAAGATTCCAAAACAAAAGACTACAAATGATACTGGATGCCCTTTACTATGTACCTAATTTAGTGATCCATCGAAACAAAAAGAGTCAGAAAAATTCAAACCTACAGACTTAATATCATAAAACGGGGTCAATAGAAACAGTTTTGAGGTTTTCAGACTTTGTAATTAGGCTGCTATTTATCTAATCGGCCACGAAAAATATGCAAAATGTTTGTCACAGCAGGTAAAACAATGCTTTGTTTTGTATTAGTTTGGCTTATATACCATTCCGAAAGTCAATAGAGACATTTTAAAATATATTAGTAATACGTGCAATTAATTTTTTTTTAGTAAAAAATTATAATAAACATACAAATTTGTAATTTACATCGTTTATTAAGTATGAAAATATAGAAAAATATACAACTTTCTTACTTTAGGGAACACAAAAGACCCTGCACTAAGTCTCACAGCATAACTTTTGTACTGTTATATCTATAGGAATAAAAAATTACATGTGTAGGAGCAAATAAAAAGAGTCTTAACTTAAGTCTAGATCTGCTGCGTTAATTCTAGCAACAGAATCTTCGTAAAAATATCAGATTGCATTAATTAAGATCATTTTGGTTGATGGAAAATTTAAGAATCTCCCTATTTAAACTGCTTGGCAGCTCGGAGTTATCAGATGAATGGATTTGATCAACAACTTGGTCAAAAGAGAAATAGTAAACGTCTGGTTTCATGGGAAATCCATAAAGATACCCTGGGGATTGCTTGGTTTGGCGATGCCTCAAAAAAGTTCCGTAAATCTCATCGTTTTCATCAACGGTTTTCAACACTTTTAAAATATAATTTGATCTTTTATTTTTCCTAAAACTGGTTCCGAAAACGCAACCAACAGGCAATCTGATAGTTGAATAGATTCTTTCGAAACGAGATAAACCTGTTTAAAAATTCTACCTTTGTAGGAAACACTAGGAACAGGAACACTTGTCTGTCGACTTTTTTGATTTTCATCAATCTGGCTTAAAGAAATATTCATCTCCTTATCATCTGATTCGACCTCCCCTTCAATTCTGTTATCGACATCTTCATCTTTACTCGATTCGTTCTCTTCTATATTTTTGTCGTTATGCGCATCTAAATCAAGCTGTTTGTCTTCTCTTTCTTCTTCTCTAAAGTCTGTTCCAGTTACACTTTTACCAGAAGCTACGGCGACCTTCTTTCTCTTTCGTCGTTGTGTAATAGTATCAGAATATCTCATGGATTGTAGCATATTAACCACTACATTGCTAACATATTCTTCTACTGCTTGCACATTTGCTGTTTTGGCACTAGGGAGTCTGTTTTTGACTTGAATACGGTCTAACGGGTAGATCCCACATTCTCTATAACCTCTAACCCCCATTCTCTAGACCTAATATTTTTTTCTTGGTTGGGTCTGATGTTGTCCATCAGCTCTCTAATAAAATGAGGAAAGCGATCTTTGTGTATGGTAGATGCCCTTCTTTCCTTCACCCATTTTCCACTTTTCAAGAATTTTTCGCCATGCTTCTTTTAAATGGCGAAAAAAAGTTCGTTTGTAATTATTCGTTTCCTTCTGGGATCGTCAGATAAATTAGTCTCATCGAAGTTTACAATATTAGGTGGCGGTATATCTTCTAGTTCTGCACCCAGGTGATCAAAATTCACATTTAATGTCTCGGGTGACACCGCTGCTCGAGATCGTTTAATGTTTTAACAATGCCGTGTTCGTAGTCGTGTCTTATGTCGCTTTAAAAACCCATGTACAAAATCTTTTCCCGGTAAGTTGTTGTTAAACTTAGGTATATTTTTACCCCGACTATCTAGTTATGTTTTTACCATTACTCTAAGATCGTAATTATCTAAGGGATAGCCCCAATTAGCACAGGTTATCAATTGTTTCAGTATAACTTCCTCTTCCAACTTCGTTAGTGCAGTTTGTTCTCCAGGTGTCTTTAAGTTAGGGTTTTTGTGGTGCCTATAGAGCACTGAATAGATAATTTAATGTACTCTGCTTATCTTCCTATAGCACATTCCATTTCTTATATCGTTTAAGCCCCTTTCAAGTGCCTTACGATTGTTTTTTTTTTGTAAAACTTGGACCTTGGATTATGTTCGTAGTCTCGTGGCATGGTTAATCTGAAAGCAAAATAAAAAATACTGGAGAAAAAACCTAACACAGATGTTGTTATGTACAATCAATGACAAAGAGGTGGGAACCAGCATAAATATTATCACAGCACGAAGCCCCAAGGTCTTTTATCTTGATAGATGAGTGTAATAATATCGTTCGTCGCAATAAAGTGGATATTAAAAAATATCTTAATATATTTAAGTCACAGCCATCTGTAATACAGATACCAATGATGTAAATTCAGATCAAAAACCCTCGTCCTTAACACAACTGGCAAGGGCAGAATTAGGTACCTACCTCTATTGACATCGAAAGGGATGTAACTGAAAAGTCAGATACTTGCAGAACTAGAGCAGGTAAAGTTGTTAAACCACATTTAAAACTAAATTTGTAAAAAGGGAGAGATGTAATATGTTGTACATAATTATACATTGTTAAGGTGGTGGGAGTGCTAAATAGTGAGAGCAATGACAATAACCACGTAACCAGTCAAGATAGCTGTCACCAGGATACAGGCTAACCTCCTTGGAAAGAAGATAAAGTCTTAATAAACTATCAAATCAGAAAATTGAGTTGAACTGTCAAAGTTTGAATACGCATTTCAAAGTTTTCTGCGCATTTTTGTAATTTAAGTACAGTATATTTTACGAATTTGCGCTTATTTTGGATTAGAAATTAAAGCTTGGATAATTGTTATTCCAGGTTGGTTTTTTTTTGAAGTTTGATGGTGGAAGGTGGAAAAATACAAGTAAGAGCCCTACTAACATTTTCTTTGTGATCCTATTCCTTTACATATTTCTTAATCTTCTATATAGTCAAACCACATTTAAACGTTTTGGTAGATTTAAACTTTGTTAACGTTCGCCATTATGGAGGAAAAAATTCCTCCCGATCGGCCACCAGATCCCGACCCTAATATAAGTCAAAATCTGCCTAAAAAGAATGCTACAGAGAATGTAAACATTAAGGAAAAAAGTTTATATTCTGAATCAGATTTGGGGCCCTTTGAGGTCTTTGTTCAGGGTAAAAATAGTAATGTGGGTAACTATCATGTCCTAAGTATTGCTAAGACTATCTTTAATTTAAAACTGAAAGATATTTCTAAGTTTGATAGAAAGGGAAAAAATAGAGTTGGGGTAGTATTCAAGGACAGACAATCTGCCAATTCGTTTATCCTTAGGAAGGACTGGGAAGAATTAGGTTATGAGGTTTTCATTCCCACTCATCTTATCTCTTGTAAAGGTATTGTTAGGGGAGTTTTTAAATCTTTGTCAGAAGAGGAAATTAAAATGTCAACTTCTACTAATCTACCCTTTTGTAAAGTTATCTCTGTTAAAAGAATGAATAGAAGGGTTATGCAAGATAATTCAGAAACCACTTTCATCCCTACAGGTACTATTTGTTTAACTTTTTCTGGAAGGAATATCCCTAAAGAAATTGAAATTTATGGTCTGCCTATGAAGGTGATACCCTTTGTTAGTCCAGTTCTCCAATGTCATAATTGTCTTTTATATGGGCATTCTCTTTCTCAATGCAAGGGAAAAAACAGATGTGTTACATGTGGTACAAATCATGATTCTCCCTCGTTTGTACGGTGCAGTAGATTTTGTATGTTCTGTAAAACAGCAGATCATGATTCTAGACATCCTGAATGTAAAGAAAGAAAAAGACAAAAGAGTATTAAAGAACTTATGTCATTTGCCAACTTATCATATTATGAAGCTAACCAAAACATTCCAAGGGAAACATCTAGCCCAAAGTTGAACATTAAGGATTTTCCTAATCTTGTAACTAATCCATCCTCTGCAAATAGTATTTCAATTCAAGAGAGGAGATCAGTTGCTACATCCCTGTCTTCAAATTCTGCTTCCTACAGTCAGATTACAAAATCTACTCCATCAAAAAGGAAAAGAACATTAAATATAGGCTTTGATCAAAGTTCTCATTCTAAAGTATTGAACAATCCTAATGGGAGATCCCCCAAAGAATCTCCTAGTCACTTTATAAATAATTCTCAGACCCAAAGAGATTTAAATCAGGCTATATTAATGCTTAATCAAGATCACAAGGATTTGGTTATGACATTTATTGGTGAATTGATTAATAAAAATTATACTTCTCCTAAGGATCATGGTGGATTAAATGTAGAGATTGGTAATCATAAAAACAAAAGTGTATCACATAATGCTATAAGTACTAGTCAGGAACGAGGAGGGATGGAGGTATCTGGGTCTGAGGACTCAGAATACTAATTCCCCTCTCGTCTTGACCTGGTACATACATGTTTTTAACAATTTATATTTTCAATCATCACGCCCCACTAACTATTATACAATGGAATATAAGATCTTATAATACCAATGTTGATAACTTAAAAGTCCTTATTAAAGACTATAACCCTGATATTGTCCTCATTAGTGAGTCTTGGCTCTCTAACCAACATACAATTAGATGCAGAGGGTATCACATTATCAGAAAGGATCGAGGTGATGGATATGGGGGCTTAATTACCCTTATCAAATACAATATAGATTTTCGGGATATTCATATTAACAATCCTGGTTTTAATTCAGATGTTCAATTTCAACTCACCTTTTTACCCAAGTATAATTTAAATATATTAAATATATATTGTCCTTTGGGCAATCTCATTTCCAAAAAATGCTGGTCTTCTTTGGTCAACTCGATTAACAAACCTCTACTGATCATGGGTGATTTAAATTGTAATCATAGAGCATGGGGAAGCTCAAGAGATAGTGTTAATGGCAGAAATATTTTGCAAACTGCAGAAGATCTTAAGTTAATTTTTCTTAATGATGGTTCTCCAACAAGATTGGTTCGTCCTGGTAGCAGCAAATCAGTAGTTGACTTATCATTGGCTTCGATAGATGTGGCACCCAAAATTAGTGGATGGACCACCATTCCAGATACAGGATCTAGTGATCATTTTCCCATTCTATGCTATGTCGGTATCCCAACACAGGACTTTAATCAGGTTTCTAAAAGAAGAAATTTCAAAAAGGCTGATTGGGTTTCTTTCCATGAAAAACTAGAGTGTATTTTCTCATCGTTTCCAATTGAGGACTATGAAAATTTTATCGAATATATATCATCAGTGGCAGACACATCAATTCCTTGGACCTCCTCTTATAACAACAAATATCACATTCCATGGTGGGATGATTCATGTGCTCATATAATACAAAAGAGAGTTTCAGCTATTAATACATTTAAAAATTCTCCTAGTGTTGAAAACTATATAGAGGCTAAAAAATTCATAGCGAAAGCTAGAAAATTCCTAAAATTAAAGCGAAAAATAAGCTTTAGATCCTATTGTAGCAAACTAAATAGAAATACTCCCCTTAAAGATGTTTGGAATAAAATTAACAAGGTTTCTGGTAGTAAATTGTCTCTTTTATCTCAATTGCCACCAGAGGAGGTAGCTCAGGAAATTTTAACATTTCTCTCACCTATTTCTGGCGACTTTAAATTACTTTTCAGTCCTCTGCAGTATTCTGAGAAACCCATATCATTTGATGAATATCACAATACTCTTTTTTCTAAAACTGATTCTGCTGTGGGTCCTGATCAGGTTTCATACTCTATGTTAAAAAATTTACCGCACTCTGGATCATTACTCTTAATTCAATTCTTTAATGAATGTATCCGGAAGGGACAGGTTCCTCTTTCGTGGAAACAAACGGTCATATTACCCATTGTTAAGCATGGAAAGAATAAAACTGACCCACATAATTATAGGCCAATAGCTCTATCATCGTGTGTTGGTAAAATGCTGGAAACATTAATTAAAAACAGAATTGAGTGGTTCTTAGAACACAATCATATTTTAAATCCATTGCAACTTGGTTTTAGAAGGGGTAGAGGTTGCATGGAATGCATTTCATTACTAAATTCTAAAATACTACAAGGATTTTCATTGAATCAATTTACCGTAGGACTTTTCCTAGATATTTCAGCAGCTTATGATAGTGTCAACATCTCTCTTTTATACTCTAAACTAATTAAATATAACATTCCTATTCAACTAGCAAATGTCATTTATTCTATATTAAATGATCGTAGTATTTATGTAAAGGACCAAACTGGTCAAATTCATGGTCCAAGAAAAACTAATCAGGGTTTACCTCAAGGCTCCCCTCTAAGTCCAATATTATTTAATCTGTATTCCCTATCTTTATACGAGATTATTCCCAACGGTTGTAATCTGATACAGTATGCAGATGATTTGGTTATTTTGGTTAGTGGGGCAGATCTACTTAAATTAATTAATTCTTTGAACTTATTAATGGAAAGGATGGATCTCTGGTTATTAGAACACAACTTTAGTCTATCTTACAATAAGTCCTCAGCAATTATATTTCAAATAGGAAATCGTAAAATTAATCCTCCAAACGTAAAAATTAGAGGTCATGCAATTAAATGGGTCGATACAGTGAAATATTTAGGGGTAGTTATTCAAAAAAACCTAAAGTGGAAATCATATGTGGATTTAATAGAATTAAAAGTAAGTCGTAGCTTGAATGTAATGAGAGCTCTATGTGGAACATATTGGGGTAGTGATCCTAAAACTCTCCAGATAGTTCATAATGGTTTGATACAGAGTCATTTAGATTATGGATGTCAAATATTATCAGATTGTCCCAAGGCGCTAATCAACAGGTTAGATAAATTACAATATAAGAGTATTCGTATCATAACAGGATGTATGAGATCTACCCCTATTTATGCATTGTTAGGTGAAAGTGGTCAAATTCCTCTCAAGTACAGATGGGAATGGCTTAATTCTAAATTCCTCCTAAAAAATCTGATGCTAATTAACAACCCAATAATTTCTGCCTTGAATGGATTACAGATATCAATGCAATCAAATCCTGATTACTGGAATAAAAAAAGTATTCCCCTCTTAGTTTCCATCATGAATAAATTCCAATATACCCCAAATTTATTTTCTAGCGACTTATTTCCGTGTCACAATTTTGAATTAGAATATCAATTAACTTCTATCCCTATTAGGAATGTGCAATCTAATAAAAGTGATGAACATGCATTAATTCAATTTCAAAGAATCTCACTTGACAATCCACTTCACACTATAATCTTTACGGATGGGTCAGTTGATAGTAAGGGCTCAGCAGGATTTGGTGTTTTTTGTCCTGACTTTGAATACTCATACTCTAGTAAACTCCCTACGCAGACTCAAGTTTGCACTGCAGAGATTATTGCAATTAATCATGCGGTTCAATTTGTCTTGGAGAAGGATATCAAGAGGACCTTAATCTTGTCTGATTCTAAGAGTGCTATCCAAACGATAGGGAAAACATCTTACTCAATGGAAACTGAACATACCTCTATCATGACCAAAAGGGGCATTATAGAAGCCAATCAACAGAACATCAGTATTATTTTGGCTTGGATTCCAGGGCATTCTGATATTAAGGGCAATTATGTTGCAGACAAATTGGCAAACATAGGAAGATCACTAAAAATGCCAGCCAAAGTTAAATTGCATTATTCAAACTACTTATTTTATATTAAAAAGCTAATTTGGACTCTATGGGCACAAGAATGGAATTCAAATAGATCAAAAGGGTCGTTTTATAGAAAAATAGTCAATACATGGAACAAATCACCATGGTTCAATCAATTTCCTTATAAAGACAGAAGGCATATCACCACAGTAATTAGAATGAGAACAGGACATTGTTCCACTCCCGTTCATTTATTCCGCATAGGTATTCAGGACAACCCGTACTGTGAATGTGGTCAAATTGGATCTCTGAATCATATTATCCTAGAGTGTCCAATAAACGTTTCTCCAAATTTTGACCTCTACAAAGAATTGGTTAAAACAAAACTACAAACTCCTATAGAGATATGCTCTTTCCTATCCAATCTTAATCCTCAAAGACTAAATTTATTGATTACTTTTCTTAATCTAGCCAAAATCATTCTATAATTATATATTCCTATCTTATCTACTATAACACAAACTTACAAATTATTCTCTTTTTCCACCTGGGTTCTCTATCATCCGTTGGTAGAAAAAAAGAAAAAAAGAGGAACTTGGACAGTCCACAGTAAAGTAACTATTGAATTAAGTAGATAGCTGCAGAAGAGTTTGCTGTGGAACTCTGAGGACCTCATCAAAAAAGACTATGCAGAAAAAGACTGGTTGTTCCTAGAAGCGAGAAAAGTTTTATCCTGTGTTGAATAGACTTTCCTATACTAACTGTTTGGCCCAAGAAGAAGAAGTTTCGACATAGTGTTCATTCAATATAAAATAATTTCAATTTAGTGTTAGCTGGGCAAATTATCCCCTGAGATATTACCCAATAAAGGAAGAAGAAGAAGAAGAACTATCAAATCAAGGCTTATAGTTTTATTTAATTAGAATTATATCTTACAAATGACATATTTATACATACTGTTGTAGTCAACTAATCAATAGAATAATCTGTAAGGTTGCCTAAAATATTAAATAATTTATTGTGCTTGATTATAACCAACATAACCTTAAAACTTAGCGATGTGACATCATACCAATATGACGTGTTCGCCCGTAGAACCGTCAAAAACAGCGGTTCGTTATTTACTGTCAAAGTTGAACAAAGACCTTTACTTGAAATGATATCCGTTTTAAGAACTATCTGATTTCTGAATTTTGTTTGAATGTTAATTAAAAACACTATGCCAAAAAAGTTTGTTGGAGAAAATACCAAATCGATAGCTTCACGTGAAAGAAAGAAAATACAGAAGGAAAGAAAATTAAAAGAAAATGAAGAAAAAATAGATGAAGAATTCTGGAAAGATTCGGATAAACAGTCTGAAAAGAAACAAGCAAAAAAAGAAGCCGCAGAAAAGAAGAAACAGGAAGTGAAACAGAAAAAGCTAGAGACAAAAGATCAGTTAGAAAAAGAACTTGCCTCGATTAAAATAAAAAGGGGTAAAGATGTAAAGAAGTTAACAAGAGCAGAACTCAGTTCCCAACGGACTGAGGCTAATGTTAAAAATAATTCCTCAAGTGTGTCGTCATGTTTAGAAGTAAGTAATCATATTACAATTTATCTATACCTAGCATTATTAATTTTTATTATCATATAATTGAGTCATTCTAAAAAGTGGTTTTGAGTATCTCTTATCATAGATAGAAGAAACCACAACGAGGCCTAGAAGTGGTAATTGTGAGTGAAGTGATAGTATCATTTTAGTGATAAATATATCCGAATGCGTTAGCATTAAAGTTATTGGACAAAGGAGGATGTATCAAATATCGCCAGATTTTAATAATAATAATATCTTCGGTACGCTGTGAATGGCGGAAGTGGCAATCCCTTGATTTTAGGGATTGTACTCATCAACTCACTCAAATCACTCACCAACGCGTCTAGCCAGCGTGGTGTTTTAGGGCTAAAATACCTCCTAATAGGAATATGACGATACCTAAAATAAAAGAAATGGGTCCCCAGGTGGGTAGACCATACAGTAATGGCAAATCCCACTTCTTTGGAAAAAAGGACAGCTTCATGGAATCTGGGGAAAGCCTAGATGGCGTAGGATTTTTAATTTCCAAGAAATATGCACATAAAGTAGACCAATTCGTACGAATATCTGAAAGAATTGCAATGATTAGGTTAAATGTAAACGAGAACATCTCCCTGAAAATTATTCAAGTATACGCTCCAAACGCAGCATATCCCGATGAAGAGATAGATGAATTTTATGAGAAAATTGCAGAAACTAGCACGAATTATCACAGCACGTATACGATGCTAATAGGAGACTTCAATGATAAGGTCGGACAACGACTTGAAAAAACCGAAAACAATACACAAAAAGGGAGACAACACAGACCTGACCAATTTCACTTCTTATACAACTTTACAAAACCTTTACAAAGGTTATTACAAACAGGTTAACAATTAAATATGACGGATATCAACCAGTAAAACAAGCCGGATTTAGAAAAGGGTACAGCACCTGTGACCATCTATACACTTTAAAAATCCTTATAGAAAAGACTAACGAATACAATCTCCCATTAGGTCTGGCTTTTATAGATTATGAAAAAGCTTTTGATAGCGTAGAACTGTGGGCAATAGAAGAAGCATTAGTCAACAACCGGATCGATCCAGGCACAGAATACTAATACATAATATTTACGAACAAGCTGAAATGATAGTGACATTGGGTAATGGAATCGAAACAAGACCGGTAAAAATCAACCGAGGAGAAAGACAAGAAGACACATTATCTCCAAAATTATTTACAGCTCCTTTAGAAGATATCTTTAAGTCAATAGACTGGTAAAATAAGGGAATCCCTATTTACGGAAGAAACTTGAACCATCTGAGATACGCAGACGATGTAGTACTAATAGCCGATACGTGGAATGCACTGAATACGATGATTGAAGAGCTACACACAGAATCTCTAAAAAAAGGACTGAAAATAAATTTCAGCAAAACTAAACTAATGTCAAACAAAGATGACAAACCTATGATAAACATCTCGAAGGGACAGAGATAGAACACTAGATGAATATACATATCTGGGTCAAAATGTCAAGGTAAGCAAAGAAAATCAGATTACTGAAATAATCAGACGTGTAAAAATGGGATGGGCAGCATTCGGAAGACTCTCATACTTGCTTAAAAATAAAAATATACCTCAAAGACTGGCGGTCATATGAAGCCAAAAGACCACGAGGAAGACCGCAAATGCGATGGAACGACGATATTAAAAGAACTACAGAGCCAATGTGGAAACGTCTTACAAATAACAGGGATGAATGGCGAAAATTAGGAGAGGCCTAAATTCGGCTTAAGAATAGAGAAAAAGGCTTAAAAAAATAACAGTTACATAGAGTAAATATTTATTGTAATATTTCTCTTCGCGATCATATCTAAACCAACAGATATTCTTATGAATATGGTAAAGAGTGATTACATGATAAACGAAAAAAAATTAATACCCATTTTATTCTCTATTACATTTGCATCTTCTAGATTTGCTACCTTTAATTGCACCTTTTTTTTGTTAATAGGAGCCATTAGAAAAAAATCTAAATAAGTTGTCGATTGATAATTCAGAAAGTGCTAGAAATATCGATGATGCTATTTTGCTTTTAACTGACCATACAGATGAAGACAGACACCCTGAGAAAAGAATGAAAGCAGCATACAAGTGTTACGAAGAAAAATGTTTGAAGGATCTAAAAATAGCTCATCCATCATTAAAATTATCACAACTGAAACAAATGGTGTTTAAAAATTGGAAGACGGCTCCAGAGAATCCTTTGTTACAAAAAATGTAGTCCATTTATTGAATAAAGAGAGAACTTCCTTTAATTGTTATATTAAGTAGTAAAAATTTTCTTTACTAAAAATTTTAAATAAAAAATAGCTATAGAACCTGTTTAGAATATATTGATATAGGAGTTGTCATCATCACTAGTTAAGGTAGAGTAAAGTGCCATAATATCGGATAGTTACCTATTATCGGATAGTTCTATTTTAAAGAAACCTGAAATCTTATTAACAAGAAACCTATGTCCAGTTTAGCATGGAGGTAAAGGTTAAAAAGAAAAGTGCTAAGAAAGGGGAAGCTTTTAAGTCATCTGAACAAGATGAAGAATTCATTTTAGATGATGATTCTGACATGGAGTGTGACATCGGGGAAGAGGAAGCTGAATGTATGTTTTGTACTGGACTCTTCTCTGAAGATGAAGTGGCCCTATATTATAGACTATTATTTATATTTATTAAAATGACAAGTGTATTAAAAGACAAACCTTTGGGATCTCAAGCACGAGAAATAATTTTCAATGTTTTTAAGTTTACAACCGAAGAAGCTGATGCAGATAAAGTCTTAGTTGATTTAAAAAAGATATAAGAACGTGTAGCTCAATTAACTATTAATTTAAGTTGCAATCAATAAAATTATAATCAATAAATAAATAAAAACTTACAGAACAAAATATATATATATATATTATATATATATATATATATATATATATATATATATATATATACTCGGTACTTAGGCGGCACACGCCCTTCCGGTAGGTATCTATGGAGGAGTATCACCTGGCCGCAAGCCCTTATCTCTTGCCGTACTGACCATAGGCCGATCAGACACCAGCATATTCTAGTCTAAGCAGCAGATTCATTTTAGAATTTTAAACTGCTGTGTTAGCCTTTGTGTTTTCTGTACACCGAGCTGGGGATCGAACTCACATCACTCGCAGTGAAGCGAATGAGAAACCGGCCGCCCAGCCCGCATGGCTATCTAACCGATACAAAAAATACCAGTGAATAATAAGTAAACAATGAATCAGTTAATTAGTACTTTACAGTTCACTATTATTGATAATACAACGTATATCTGTAGCGACGAGCTAATTATTTCAAAAATTAAATAACAGTTCTTCATGTTAAAATTTACATTATCGCAATTGGTATACACATGTGAAATAGAAATGACATACAAATTGTAATGTGTTTCTCCAATGTGTTTATTTACTACAGATATGCTGGACACTTTAATTATACATTTGAATACGTTGCATTGTTCATAAATGGGAAACGAAATATGATATTGTAAGCAATAACCTTAACCTTAACAAAAGCAGCAGCTACCAAACTGAGAGTCACGCAGAGAAGAATGGAGCGGTCCATGTTAGGAATAACTCTGCGACAGATTAACCAACGAAGACATCAGAAGAAGAACCGGATTGACTAACATCATCGAGAAGATAGCCAGACTAAAATGGAGATGGGCAGGACACATAGCCAGAATGACAGATGGGCGATGGACAAAGAGGTTATTGAAATGGAGGCCAAGGGAAGACAAGAGAAGTGTTGGTCGACCACCTACAAGATGGACTGACGATTTAAAAAGACTCAATAAAAACTGGATAAGAGCAGCGCAAGATAGACGGGGTTGGAAACATGAGGAAGAGGCCTATGTTCAGCAGTGGACTCTTGAGGCTGGATGATGATGAAGCAATAACATCACAAGATAAAAGGCCGAAAATACGTGAGTTTACCGTCTGGATTAGAAAAATAAACAAAGAACCTGTGTTGTGTTTAGTTAAGAGTTTCATTAAGATACACGAGTTGCATCAGTCTGCGATACATACAAAAATATCTTCCCTTCGAGAATTAATTACGTTTTATGAAAATAAATATTATTAACAAATTTTTTCTACGTTTTATTCAATATTATTATTATTTTTATTTTGTTTTTGTGGTAAATAAGTTTATCACACACGCATCCACACAACCACGGAACATATCTATTAACGTAATTTTCAGATCCCAACTAAATTTTTGATACGGCAACTACGCATTTGTGATACCCGCGATTAAGTACCTTTCCTGTCTGTCTTAGAATAATTCCTTTTTTATTTTCGCGCAGCTCACCCGCCAGCTCTCGCTTGTCAGATTATACTCTATTATTTGACCTGCCGCCATATTATGGATTGGCTTGGATTGCATGTAACTGGTGGGTAGTTATACTAGTTACATTGAATGATTAAGAGAACTTACCTAATCGATTTTTTTAGTTTATTTCTTAGGATAAAACTAAAACTTTAAGTAAACATTGGTTGATTTTTATTTATTAACAATTATTTAATTTAATTTAAAAATGTACATAATTATGAGAGATCGGTGGATTTCTTTTTAGTAAATTCTCTGGGATGTCCCGAATTAGTTGCTTCCAGATTCGGCAACTTCACCCTTTTACCTATTTTGTCGTATGCTTTTTGTTCGTTACTATCAGGCACAGCGTATTTATTGACTTCTGTAAATCTAACATATGATGACTCCCTTTTTCGAAAACGATGAATCTGTATAAATGTTGTATTTATCTTCTTAAATTTTGATCTGATACATTTACATAGTATATACATTAGTGTAATTATGACACCTAATAAACATACTCCTATGCTCACGTAAATATATATTAAAAACGATTGAGACATTTCATTGCATTTCTTTAATTCGTTTTTGGGAAATATCTCAATAGATAAATTAACAGAGGAGTTTCTAATTATTGAATCGTTTGTTTTGCGAAGCAATAGCAGTCCTCTATCAGTTAACCAAAAGTTTCTTGTTATGTTTACTCTAAGTTGAAAAATATAGTCTACGTTTTTATTCTTAAAGGTGACATATCGGAAAGATGAGTTGACGTCAAGAGTTGATTCTTCTGCATATGCTCCATAAATTACAGACAATGCGTTTCTCTTGGTCTGCCACTCGTGTAAAAGAAATTTGTCTTTCTCGTAATAATAACCTGAAATATAAAAGAATAAGGAGGTGAATATAATTAATAAAAATTTATTTAATTATTAATTTTTTATCTCTGAATGGTCCAAATTATACAAATAAAGGGATAGGGGAAAATGGTCTACATTCGGCCATAGGATACATTCGGCTATTCACAATAAATCCGAAATACATACATTCGCAATGAATTTAGCGCCCAAATTCATTACCTGTCAAGAAAAAATTATTCAGTCTCTTGGCATTGTGTTAACAGAAGAGGCTAGGTACCCTTTCAGATGAAGGGGTGTTCAGTTTCAGTAAAGCATTGTTTTAAATAAGCGATTACAGACGAGCTGATAGACAAAAGGGCAGCGAGTAGTATCTCAGATGTGAGAACACGACGACGCTCAAACCAAATTTAGATGCAGAGTTAGCAAAGAAAAAAACGAAAGACAACAAAGAACAAACAAACTGAACCTGGAAAACTAAAGATTCAGGAATGTAAAGAGAAGTTCGAAGAAAAAGTCTCAAATAAGTCAAGGACGCTAGAACTGCACTCCATAGAAGGGAGGGTTCCATAGATGGAATAATAACAAAATAGCAGTTCTGACAGCGGAACTATAGATATATATATATGTATATATATATATATATATATATATATATATATATATGACGAGGAAGACATGGATTACATGTTTAGAAAACTAAAGAAAGAATATGAAAAATGGGGCCTCAATATGAATATGGCAAAGACAGAGTATCTTAAAATAGGAGATGGTGAAGAAGATCCAGAGTTAGAAATTAGAAACACAAAAACATGCAATGAATATAAATATCTCGGATCTATAATATCGAAAGAAGGCACTACCAAAAGAGACATCGAAAACAGAACACAGCAGGGAAAAAAAGTGGTAAACATTCTAAACTCTCTACTTTGGTCTAAAGATATTAGACAAGAAACGAAATTGACAATCTATCGAACCTTGGTAGAGCCTATTATGACTTATGGGGCAGAGGTTTGGCAGATAACGCAGAAGGATAGAAAAAGAATAGAAGTAGTAGAAATGGATTTTCTAAGGAGAGCGTGTGGTATATCCAAAAAAGATCACATCAGGAATGAAGATATTAGAAGGAGGACAAATACTGTATATTCCAGTGTAGATAGAATTGAAACGAGACAACTAGTGTGGTATGGTCACGTGAAACGAATGAACGAAGATAGATGGCCAAAGAAAGCTTTAAATTACATACCACAACAAAGAAGAAGAAGGGGAAGGCCTTCAGTTGCCTGGGAAGAAAATGTACGGCACATAATGAGAGATAGAGCCATCAGAGAAGACGAATGGATGGACCGAAAACGATGGCGGTCGAAATGCGAGAAACGGCAGAGGCTGTAGTAACCTCGCTTATATATATATATATATATATATATATATATATATATATATATATATATATATATATATATATATTATATATATATATATATATATATATATATATATTATATATATATATATATATATATATATATATATATATATAAGAGTAAGAAAAAAGAAGTACTTGTGACTCGTTTGGAAAAAATATAACACTGTTTTTGATGGGTTGGAGTCAATAAAAGGGGCTATTTGTTGACTATTTTTTACTCGAGCTTTCAATTGTGATTACAATTTTTATCAAGAGCTTCTAAAAATACAAAATATCTTACAAAGTTGAACTAGAAATAAATAATGTTGTTGTTAACTCACCAAATAAAATTAGTTATTTATATAAAACTGCTGCTAACATTATTACAAAAAATATTATTAAAAAAATGTCCTATTCTAATAAATGTTTCTCTGACAAATTTAGATAAAGTTTCTTAACAAAAAACAATTGGATTTATAAACAAAATGAATAGCTACAATTCAGCCTAAATGACGTAAATAACAACTTAAAAATTTTTATTTTTGACATATTGTCAAAAATAAAATTTTTGTTTAAAAAATTCTTCTTTGTTTAGTAACAAAAAAGAAGAAGATTTATTCATCATTGATAGAT